TCCGAGCTCCTTTAGGACGGGATTCACATGGTTGCTCCAATCTTTTGAATTACCTTATTTTTCTTCTTCTTGCTTATTGGAAATTGAGCCATTATTCCCTACCCATCATTACAACCTCATGATACACCTTTTGATGTTTTATGGATTTATGTTTGTTTTTGAATTGACGAGCATGATGCAAATGCAAGCTTATGGTAAAGATTTTCTATGTTTTGACTTGAGCGTTCATATATATATCTTTAGCCTATACACTTGAGTGATTGAGCGAACCTTGTGAGATGTGTTGGTCCTCGTTTGCATTTGATATTGATTGGTTGTTGAGGATGATTGTCATTGATGTTAGTACATGAGACTCCCACTATGTCTTGTTTTCTTGTGTGCGAAAATGTTTTGATTCGGCAAAAGAAGAGAAAAGAGTGTGATTATGATTTGGGATATGAATTTGGCTTGATGCTTGAGGGCAAGCATCGTTCAAGTGTGGGGTAGTTTGATTAGTCGAAAAACGTGCTCGCTTTAACCGTTTAATTTTGTAATAGTGCACGTTTATTCACACGCATCTATATGATTTTCGACTTATTTAATATTATGATAGATTGTGGTGCCTTGATGAGTTTCTTGAGTTTTTTCAGAGTTTTGGGATTATTCTTAGCAAGTGACGACGTTGAATGCAAGACGTGAGCTCGACAAATTAACCTGTAGTACTGGGGTACCCAGTACTTCGTTCCAGCCCCCAGTATTCTGCTGCCAACAGGACAGCACTCCATACTCTGTTATCCAACTAAGCCCATGCACATATTAAGGCCCGTGCACCTCATGTAAGTTAGCAGGGAATTAATTGTGTTGGGCCGCAAATACCAAAGTTGAAGTGGGCCTATTAATTAATTGGAGAATTATTTTGACTTTTGGACTCTTGGAGTATAAGCATAAGGAAAGTGACGTGGCCTGAGGGGAATTTGATCTTTCTTGGGGGACATATTCATTGAGGGTTGGGACATACTTCTGGCGGCGGTGAACAAAAACGAGGAGGAAAGCAATCACGAGAGACAACAGTGAACAGAGAAGGATTTTATTTCTTTTCTTTTCTTTCGGGTGTAATTAAATTTTATGAACATGTTATTGAACACTATGAGTAGTGAGTAGTTCTTTTATTCCAGTTCCGGGGATGTTGAACCCTAAGACTTGACCAATGTTTGATTAATTCTTGGTTGATAATTTCAATGTCTTTTGGAATTGTTTGTGTTATTTTGAATTATTAACCCTGATTTGTTGAGTCTTGTTTAGCTTGATCACCTAGACTAGGCTTTTCATATCTACTGCTAGATTCAAACTGTCAATCCGTAATTGTTGATATGTTTAATCAATTAGAGGCTACCGGAAGATGGTAACTACCGGGAATAACACAGCCTAAGTAAGTGAATGAAAATTTCTCTACTTAGTCTAGCCTATTTTTCTAAATTGTAAAGCGGCTAATTGAATTAAATTTAGGAAGCGTTTCCTAGACTGTTCAAGAGGTCAGATTTAATCGTAGAGCGTCTCGCGGTTAAATTAAAAATAAGGAAAAATTCGGGTAACAGACCGTGTCGTTACCTAGGGTTAGTAATTCCATAGATAGCGAGATTTGATACCAAAATTAATTAGACGAGTCGGTCGAGGGTGTAGACAGAACCGTGAACTAGAAGTCTTCCCATAATTTGATAAATTATCCTCTTTTGCTGCATTTGATTTTATTTTGTTATTCTTATTTTCGTGGTTAATTGTCTCTCATCAAAACCCCCTCTTTTATCGTTTTTATTAATTTCAATTAAGAAAATAATTACAATTAAAATTCATACTCCCTTGGGTTCGACCTTTACTCACTACTACTACTAGTTGGTAGAAGTCGAATAAGGAATTTATAAATTATAATTTTGCCGCGTTGCGACGCGCGGTCACTTATGTATTTTAATATCACTTGTACTAATATAACCATTTAATTCCTTGTAATTTTACATAGTGAGGCACTAAGTGACTAATATATCCCTGAATTTTGATTTGATTGCTTCAATTAGTTACTGAATTGTAAATGTATTTTAAAAGTTGATAACTTTTGTGTTTCTTATCAATTTCACATATATAATATATCAAATTAATCATCTTTTGATGATATTCGATTTGACATCCATATTGTATATATGAAATAAATAAGTTATATTTTTTTTATAATACTAAAAAATAATAATATTTATTAAAATTCATTTGAAAAAATAAAATTATTTCTTAATTGATATATTTATGTATAATGTAGTTATATGTTATAAGTTAAAAAAATTATTATAATATAGCACATGTAAGTCGCACAAATAAAAAGTGTCATACTATATATATAATAATATATATATTTTTATAAAAGGTATTTAAATTTGTAACTACTTATTCTCATTAATTTTAGATTTTAAGAAAAAAAAATTAGTAATCACCCGTGTAATACACGGAAGTTGTCCTAGTAACATATTAATAGTTATTTTAATGTATTAATTTGCACACACATACATGTATATTTTAAGGCATTTTTTTATATATATGCCATAAATACATAATATTGTACATAAGAGTGTGTACATGACACTCACATTTAGTGGGACCTACCAAAATGAAAAATTCAAGTGGACATGTGAGTGTTATTTACACTTTTATGTACATTTGTTATGTATTTGTTAACATTTT